GAAATTTTCAGACAAAACAGAGCTTCGCCAAAAACACCAGTTTGTGGCGCTCAGCATGTTCTGTTTAAAATAGTTCAGACTGAAGGAACTATTACCAAACTGAAAGTGATGTCTGGAGGGAACTCAGTTTAGACTACCGAAAAGGCTGTTGGGTACTAAGCCAGGGAAACTGAAAGTGGCAGTCTCCAGGTTCAAAGGAGCTCATCAAGACTCTTTCCTAGTCCAAGCAGACTGATCCTGAGCTCAGCCTGGAAGGGGAACTCACCTGCACATTTAGATACAAGATTTCCTGCAGCCATTGGAATAACTAACATTCATCAGGATTAGAGATAGGATCTGAAGAACTTAAGTTTATTAAAAGAAGTTTTGGGAGAAATTATTTTAAGTCAAGATTGAAACAACCTCAGATTCAAAGAAAGAAAAAAAATATTAAAATCTGCAGAAAGTAAACATGGCTTTTCAGCATGTTCCCAAAGACAGAGAGAGAATACAATTTTGATTTAAATAGGACATCATAATTTCTCTTCTTGCGTGTTCTGTTTCCTTTACTACTTCCTTCCGATATTTCTGAAAATTAGTCTGGGCCCCAGCTTAAAACACTTTCCAACGTTATCCCATTTTCCACAGGATGAAATGTCTCCTAACCATTGACTGAAGGGGGTGGGGGAAAAAAAATTGCAAGTGAGTGAATGAAGATTATTACTTGGCCACATGGTTTGATTCAATTTACACTCCTGAGCTTTAGGTCATGCAGTACGTGATGAGTGCTAGCAGCTTACTGTGCTTAACTGAAACCTGCCTTGTGCGTTACTTTACTTAAATGTTTGCTGAAGAACATATTGAGGAATCCATGTTTCATTTGCACTCAGGAAAGGGACACCCTTCCTGCCCCACCAGTCTCAGACCTTTCTGTGCCCCTTCTCTGCCCCCCACATCTCCTCGTTTCTTGCCATAGAATCAGTCAGGGGAAAGGGATCGTTTGGGAGACCTGTACTCCAGCCTGCTCGAAGCAGGTTCAGCACTGAATTCAGATCACACTTCTCAGGGCTTTATCCATTAAGGTGTTGGAAATCTGTAGGAATAGACTTTTCACAGCCCCTCTAGGCAACCTGCTTCAGTGGTTGACTGTCCCCATGGTGTGACTCTTCATTGAATTTTTGCTCAGATTTTGGCAAACACACAGCTCATGCCAAGGCCAGATGCATGCTGGGATCAGTACCGTTAGGTCAAAGCAAAGGCAACACATAGGCAGGACACAGTGGCCAGAAAGGGGAAAAGGTCATTATGCAGCTAATATCACCTGCAGCTTGCTGTCTCCTGTAGCCATCATCCTTGCATGTTGCTTGTCTGGCAGTTTCTTCATAATCTGCTGACTCATGGAAATGGTGTAGACCAAACTTCCAAGCTGGAAGGTGTCCATGCAGCAGCTTACCCAAAAAGTTTATGAAGCAAACCTGACAGCAGCTGGACTGCTGGGGATTTCATGCTTCTCAGTGTGATACAGGGGATGCCCAAACCGTGGCAGAGGAGGAAGTATGAGCGCTCTCCCTGCCAGCTAGGTAACTGTTTTGCTCATGGCTGCATGGGTTACAAATGATGAATTAGAGAGCTTGTGAGTTAAAACCCTCATGATTTACGTGATAAATTAGTGAATTCACATGTTAGGCTAGTTTGTACAAAAGGGATTGAACCCTCATTTGTCATGTTTGTTTTCTTTCCTAATGAGCTCATAAAATGAAGTTTAATTTACAGGGTATGTTGACCTGTAAATTTGAGAGATTCAAATAGACTGTGACACCATGGTAATATTTTTTTTCTTCTATCACACATGAAATTCCCAGTCTGATTTGTGCCCATTCTCTCTTCCCACACCATCATGGAGCTCTCAAAGGGTATGATTCTCTTTTCTTGACAACTTCTTAACTGGTATCAGAAGGCTGCTATAAGGACCCTCTCAAGCCTCTTCTCCAGGCTAGACAAATCCATTTCCCTCAGTTCCTCCTCGTAGGGCAGTTGTTCTCTGATCCGACCACCTACTTGCATTACAAATGGGCTCCCTTGAGTTTCTCACTGTCCTTCTTGTATTTGAGGTGTAGTGTGTCCAAACCTGGCTGCAGTATCCAAAATATACCCTGAAAGGTGCCAAGAAAAGGGGAATAACCCCTTCCCTTAAACTACTGATGACAATCCTGTTAATAGAGAGCAGTATGCTGTTAGCCTTCATCTCTGACAGGGCTCACTGCAGACTTGTGTTTAACTTGCTTTCCCCAGGCCTTTTTTTCATGAAGCTGCTGTCTTTGCCTAACCTCACTTCTTTCCCAGCCTTTTCACAGCCAGTCCATTTCATTTCCTTGCATTTCTCCCTACCTCACAAGCAATCAAATCCTAGTCAGGGTCTCTCCAATTTCTGCCGTCTAGCTCCAAATCTGGTTTGTTTCCCCTCATCACCCTTAAGCTCTATGTAACCTGCAAACTTCATGAGATCCTTTCTACATAGATTATTTAGCTTCCCTCTTCCTTGTGTTTGCATCAACGTCCTTCTCACTGCTGTTTGGACTGACCTTGAAAAACAATCTTAGATGCATGGACTCAGCCAAGAGACAAAACTGCTGGGAACATTTTCCTTTCCCTTTTGAAAATTCCATAGAGACAGAATATGCTTACCATGAGAAGACATAAAATATTCTTCAAAAGCATTCACCTTGTCAAAGTATGGGTGTACAAGAAGAAAGACAGAAAGACAGACAGACAGACAGACAGAAAGACAGACAGAAAGAAAGACAGAAAGAAAGACAGAAAGAAAGACAGAAAGAAAGACAGAAAGAAAGACAGAAAGAAAGACAGAAAGAAAGACAGAAAGAAAGACAGAAAGAAAGACAGAAAGAAAGACAGAAAGAAAGACAGAAAGAAAGAAAGAAAGAAAGAAAGAAAGAAAGAAAGAAAGAAAGAAAGAAAGAAAGAAAGAAAGAAAGAAAGAAAGAAAGAAAGAAAGAAAGAAAGAAAGAAAGAAAGAAAGAAAGAAAGAAAGAAAGAAAGAAAGAAAGAAAGAAAGAAAGAAAGAAAGAAAGAAAATCCTGATTTAAACAAAGCAAAAACCACATTCCACCCATTTCTTCTTTCAAAGCATAGGCTCTCTAGATCTTCCCAAAGAAAAGGTAGCCAAATCATTAAAATAAAATCCAAACATCACATTTTCCCTACCCTTATCTTTAGAAGAGTAGAAACTTTGAGGACTGACATTATTCAAGACAATTCAACATAAGACATAAACCAGAGATACAGAAAATTTCAACACCAGCAGTATAAGCATGGCAAAACTATGGGACAACCAAAATTAAGGTTTTACAATGGCAAATGCTGAGGAATTTGAGAAACAGTTCAAGGTAGGAGATCCATGTAATGAGTATACTTTGTATGTTGGTCAAATGTGTGACAGACATATTTTCATTTTTGAGATACAGATTACATGTTTCAAAGCAGCTGTATATATGCCAACTGCACATTATTAAAAAAGAAAGAGCTCACACTTTGTGAAAATGTCCTAGAAATAAAATATTCCAGTCCCTTATATTTGCCATGATGCTGCTTAACACCACATGAAAAGAAGTGTATTTGCGCAGTTTGTTGCATTTTCAGAAACCTATCCTAAATGCTAGATGTTGTTGATAAGGATATAAAATGTGGTATGAACCAACTAGAGACTACTTATTACCCATCACACTTATTTAAATAACATTTATCAAAAGCAGAAAGTTTCTATAACTCCCACTAAATGAAACATAAACATGATGCACTTTGCTACCTCATGTATGACCAGTTAGCAGAACCATCAAGATTGAGGTACTCTTTTCTTCCTACTTTGGTCAGAAAATGCTGATCTGTTAAAACTCACATTTGTGCAGAAGCACATTAATTTTGAGAAGACAAGTTTTCTCATGAAGCCAGCAGAAAACTAACCCAGCAACAACAAAGCTGCCAGCTTTGTCAGTAGAAATATCTGAACTGTCGACTTGCACTCTCTGCACTCATGTAGGAGTTCTCATGGTTCACGTTTTTTTGTGAAGAAACATGAGGTTCAGTTTCATCCTACTAAAGGAAGGGAACACTTTTAAAATCTTTTTGCTCAGAAAAGTTTTCCTCCAAGACACACCACATCCCAAACACTTTCCAAAGTTCTGTGACATCCACATTCACCAGCAGCAGAAGGAAGACACATGGTGAAGAAAAGGAGCAGTTCTGACAACTGATTTAGCTTCGCAGAATTTTTGCTAAGTGCTGTATGTTTAAAATATTATGCATTGTCGGTTTATATCAAAGGCACACTTTCTAAGGTGTCAAGCACCTTCAGGATTGGTTTAAGCTAAGCACACATAAGCCTACTGAAACCACTGGGGAAATTTACATACCAGAAGTTAAATTTGAAAGTTTAGCCGTCAAGTCTCTGGGAAAACAACAGTAACAACATTTTTTTCTGTAATCAGACAATGCTAAAATCATCAAGTTTCTGATTAGAGATTCTGGCCAACTCGTGAACATAAGTCAGGAATAACAGACAGCTCACTGCGTGATAACAATTGTTTTATCTATATGCAGCTTCACACGACCTTTGGCTAAACTGAGAGATTCTGTAGAGGATTTTAAATACATTTTTGGCAAACTTAGCACATCAAAGTTTAATAATAATAACAATAATGATAATCATCATCAGCAGAAGCTTCAGCTCCAGGACACATAAATAAATACATTTGTGTAAGAAGGACTTCCAGACATTTTGAAACCAAAGTTAAGCCTCATAAAAATTCCAGTGTGGTAATCCAATATACATATATTTATTTCTAAAATGTTTTCTTGAAGCCCAGAGAAGTTGAATTAATTATTTCATTAGTTTACCACAGTCAGTAATTCCTAGCTCCAGATCTCTTTTATTTATTGTCTATCAACCTATTGTCATAACTCAATCAAATCAGCACAATTTATAAAAACAGACAAGGAGACTGAACTATACAAAACATCTTTCCTTTACTGAATGAGTTCATATGACACAATTCTCAACCCCTAAAAATTATTTTCAAATTAAGTACAGTTCATTATTGTGGGTTTTATTATTTTATCTATTCCAGTAGCACTTCAACACTTCTTTGAAGATCAGTGGAATAAGTATTCAACATTTGTATGACAATAGCTCTTAGAACACTTTACCACATTATGACTATGCTATTATTTCCTTGACCATGTAATACACATGGATTCATGGGGTAAAAGATACATAAATCTTATCTACTGAACAAAGCAGACAAACAAAATAAAAGAGACACCTGTTTAGTCTTTCTACAGGTCTTTCTGACATTTTTTTGTAAAACAGAGTTGAGCAATATATTGAAAACTGCAGAAAAAGCCTAGTTAACCTAGGAATTGAGCCCAGATTTCAGGTATACAAATGTAATCTGTTAGTTGTATAGCTGGTTCCAGGTTTATTGGATTTTATTTTTTACTATATTGCATAGAATGGATCATAGCAAAAAGCAAAAGAAATAGAAAAAAAATATGTATGCAGTATTATTTCCATTGGATAAACTATTCAAAAGAAGATAAAATTCTAAGCCCAAATGTCAAAGGCTTATTTATGTGTGTGTACATACTTTCATATATATACATATATATACTGTATATATATATACACATCTAAATATGACTGCAGAAACTATGAAGCCAGAAATCCAATTCCATAGTATTGTGTCTAATCTCACCATATTTCTTTCTATCCCTGCCTTGCTCACATAGAAGTATACACATATTTCTTGATAAGTAGCAATGCTTTGAAGATTGAGCTGTTGAAGGATCTTACATGTCCTTTTTTTCCACTAATATTAATTCTAATTAGTAAATACTAATAGATATTAGCAATTTATACACCTTTTGTTCACGGGGAAGAAGCAAGCCAGTGGCTAACATTCTGTATATTCCTGAGGAGTTTGTTTTCATTATCCTGTATATTTAGAGTTTTTCCTTTCCCAAAATCTTGGCGTCAAAAAAAAAAACCCCAACAAACAAACCAAAAAAAACCCCAGAACCCACCTGACACCTCCATTTTGTGGTGAGGAATCTCCTGTTTGATGCTTATTTCCCACAATTTATACTTCAAATATTTTACTGATGAAACAAAACAAATCAAAGTTGTACTTGTGTTTTAATTTTCCTTTTCAATTATGAATAAATTTATAGTCAATGGTCCTGTTTATGCTATACTTTATGGTCAACTCCTTTGATTTTCTTTATGGACAAGAAATTGCTGCAAAGCCAGAAATCCATTGCTTTACATTTGTCATTTAGAGCCTCCCACTGTCTAAAATAAATTGGCTTTCTGGTAATCATGTGATGGTTATATCTCACACATGAGGGTTATATATCACAAGTTTGTCTGGTGTGTTTCCTGTTTTGAGTTTGCTTATTAAATGGAAGAAAAATTCTTAGAAGCTGGTGGTGGATGGGGAGAGACTGAATTGGCAGCTTTATTACAATTCAATATTTTTTCTGATAAAGGCATAGGAAAAGAAGAAAACTGGATTAAGCATAATAATAGAAATGAAGGGCTTCAGAGGAGTCTAACTGCACCAAAAAAAGTACCATCTCCATCCAAGGATATTTTGGCCCTTCTCCGTGGTATTGTAAGTTGAAGTTCATCCCCTTCTTCTAATTTTGCAATGCCTGGCAAAAGATGTGGAATATTTTTAAGTTAATATTATTAATAAATGGTATTCAAAAAGTCATTGCATGTCATCTTACAAATATAAGCATAGTTTGTTAGTTGTGATGAGTCCTTTTTTAGCTTTAGCTACAATCCTAAAAATTGCAGCCCACCCAAAGCTGACATCCTCTGTGGAGCAGGACCTACTTTCCACTCCGAACTCATGTCACAGTTCACTTAAGCAAACACTGCAAAAATTCATAACAGTGGTGTACCCAGATTCCTCATGTTATGGTTATGACAGTAAAGGACAGCACTGGATATTGCTGGTCCTAGACCACTCCTTTACCACACTTCTAGTGGAGGTCTCACGAGCTTCACCAACCAAACGAAGTTACCAGACATCAGCTGATCCACTGCAACTGCAGAGCACAAAAGTCTGCTTCCTGCCAGCCGCCCATCAGCTGACGTGATAACCGAAAGCACCTCGCCTTCAAGTTGCAGTCACCGAGCTGAGAGCACATTGAACATCTGCTGCGACACATGCCCAACAGCGTGAGATACTGCAGTGAGGTTTGGTTTTCCGGGTGAAAGAAGAAGGGTGGGAATTTGGGAAGTAGGAACCACGAAGTGGCAGGTTGGAGTGGAGGTCCTAGTTAGGAAAGGAGGGGGTGAGTAATACAAGGGTGAAATAAGGATAGATGAAATTGAAGGTGGTTATGATGCCACAATGTGTGGGTGCAGGGGCATAAAGTTAAAGAAAATGTTTGGACAGTCTCAATTGCCAGGAGGAAGTAGCCAATTTATTTTCATTTGGAAAAAAAATAGCTTCCTTCCCCATTCTATTTGTTTAATGCCATTACAGTCAACTCCATCATTCAATGTCACTCATGTTTTTATAAGGCATTTTAAAACAAGGTCATTTTTATTCACACAGATATTGCTGGAAAATAACAAAAGAGAACACCCTCAAATCCACCATTAAGGGGGAAAGACAGGCAAGTAAGAGCTACCAAATGAGGTTTAATAGGCCTTGACAATAATTCTTTAAAAGCTACTGCAGGAATATACACATTTTTGAGCCCGCTGGACTTGCATTAAATAATTTAATTGGTCTTTCCTCTGGCGTTTCTAATTTGTGCACTCAGAAAGAGCTCCTTATAGGAATTATCTATTTTTCATCTAATCAAAGAGTAAAACTGCAGTAGCCATTATAAGGAGTAGAGAATTAAACAGATAAGAAATATTTTTGGAAATCCCACATTAAGGTACGCAAAAATTGGGTGGCTAAAATACATATGTGATGTTTTAAAGCAGAACATAGCTCCTAAATATTCTATTGAGAATAAATGTGAAATTCAAACCCTAAGTTAAACTGAGTTCTTCAATAAGGACAGTATGTACTTCTTTTGTCTGCTTCAGGCATCTGACTGAAAGCACCAAAGTAACTAACCACATTTTAGAGTCATGCGGTCACGGAGAGAGGGGAATTGTTCAGATCACCTAAGTTAAATGCATACCCCCCAACTGCCGACAGTTTAATTTTTGAAAGTATTCTGTAATTTTGCAATTAACCAGATCCATGAATGCAGTCCATTTTTGTTACAACTGCCATAATACTTAATCACCCAACACTACAGATTCTATTTGATACAGTTTATTTGAAAACAAAGAAAAGGAAAACTTAGATGTTTACCAGCAGTATAGCAAGAATTATTCGGATAAGACTGTGGCATATTTTGGATGCAACGAAACAATGTCACCAAGCTGAGATCGTCACCAAACACGTGGGCCTTCTTTCTCTGTATTAGGTGTCCCATAGCAAATGTTGTATCGGTATATAAAACCTAGAGAATGAAGAAGTGCAGACTTCAAACTTATTGTATGGAGACATCTTTTAAAAAGTCAGATGCTGAAGTGAATTGAGCTTTCTTACCTGGCCATATATGAAAAAATATCCTGTTTCTTTGATCACAATTTTATTTCCCTGTTCTTCCAGAGCTGTTCCACGTTTAAAGCTCAGAAGCCAAGGGACGATGCTTGAATCATCTAAAAGAAACAATAATTTTGGGGTAATCAGAAAGAAAAGTTACTTTTTTTCACCTGCCAATAATTAACAAAGGTGACTTCTAGTAACGCCTTCCAGTCTCACTAGCTGGATTTCCCCAGTGAAGAGAGGATATTTGAAAGACCTGTCCAGATGCAGGGACCAGTTGGTTGCTTTTTTTTTTTTTTAATTCAGTGACATAACTCAGTTGCTGCTCTGAAGTTAGATAAAATTGGCTGAAAAAGTTAATACATGGAATAGTTAGCTATAAATCATGGAACATATTCTTACCTTTCTGTTGGATATCACTTTTGCTGTCAGCAATCAGTTGCAAGCAGGCCTGCAGCACTGCAAAGTGAAAGCATTTTGAAATCAAAGAAATGTAAATCAGTTACAGAATAGAGTAAGCTTTTGAAACTACTTTAAAAAAAAAAAGGACATGAAAAAAAAATCTTCTCTCAGTCTCACCACTTATTTGACAACATAATCTATTGATTTTAATGCAGATCTTACTCAAACATGCCAAAACAAAATTCATACCACAACACGTACTAGATAACTTTCAAAGATCATGCAGCTAAGCAGGAGGCCTCAGATAGTAGCACAAGTAATACTTGCTTGTTTTAATCTCTAGTCCTAATGTAATAGAAAAATGTAGCAATAAGTCAAATGAACTAGGAATAATCAGATCAATTAGCCTCATTAATTTTCTAAACAAAAGCTCAAAAAAAGCCCCAACCCTGCTAGCTATGACAGATATCAGATTTTCTAATGATGTTTACCATATTTAAAGAAATTAGTTTCCAGTCATAGTTGCTGTAAAATATTAGTCATGTATACTGGTTACATGGTACTTTCAAAATCCATATATATGTACTTTCAATATGTTTTCAGATACATTCAATCAACATATACTGAGATTAAGAGTGAAGATACAGAGATGACTTAGCAGATAAATGCACACATAACAAATAGCTTAGTATCTGTCAAAACGGATGTGTTACTCAAAACTGTAGAGACTGGTGACACTAATGAGAAATGTGGAGTTTGATCAGAGAAAAATATTGTGGTATGTTAAAATATGGGCCCAAAAGTGAAACAAAGACCTTTTAAAAAAATCTGCTAAGTATAAACGTCAGGAAACAGGATAAAAGTAAAAAAGGATAGCTGAATTTTCTTAGAGCAGATTTTAATGAAAACATCTGGTTCTAGTGCTACTTTGAAGGTTAGAAAACAGAGTAGTAACATTTACTGCACTTGACAGAAACCAAATGAATTTACTAAGAGTCAAGAGAAGAGAATTCTGCCACGGATTGTTGAATCTCCATTTTTGTTTACCTCTTTCCAGATAAGGTGGCTGTGGGTCAGATTTGGCCACTCCTGCTGTAATGGGTGATGCCCTACTCCATGGGATCCTGTTTCTACATCAGCCAGTGGTACCCACGCAGGCAGGCAAACAGGCTCCTGCGGCACAAACCTCTCGCTGCATGGCAGGCAGTGAGAGGATTTGAACAGAAAGCAGCCCCTCTCTGTATCTAAGTCTCCTCTCCACGTGGGCCTGCCTGAAAATACCAGAGGGCTGGATGCTCACCAGCACTCAGCAGTGCCAACTGGCAGCAGACAAAGATTCTAGCACACGTCTGGGAACGCTCCACTGTCACGATGATCGTACAACCTGCAAGCCCCACTTACATTAATGGGAACGCTATCCTGCAAGCTCCCATCTCCTACGCTGGAATGTGTCCTTGAGTTCTATCAATATCCATCAATAATGTGCCAAAATCTATAGATTATATAGATTTTCAAACCAAGAATTTAAAGGCACCTGAACTCCCTGCTTCCTGATAAGGAATGGAAAAACTAAGCCAACACAAAATCGAAAAAGGCATTATATTTCAGTCATTTTTCTGTCACACTTGTGAGTGACAGAATTTTCTGAAAAAGAAGCTTCCAAATAAAATCAAAATGTGATTTTCTGGAGTTGCACAACAAAGTACATCAGGCAATTTATTTCACAGGGTATTAATTCATTCTCATTTGGAGTAAAGTGCCTTCCTATTAAATGGAATTCGCTGATTCCCTAGTACATCAGTAAGATAATTCAACATTTTCTTTCCTGCTTTTAAAATAACTCACTACTGTGATAACTGGTTTTTCCACAAACCAAACAAGAGAGGATTTGTTATGATTCACACTAACCAGCTGCTGTCCAGCTGGGTACCAATGAGTAGTGTCCACAACCAGTGAACGTTATGGCTACTTTAGCAACTCTTGTTCAACCTGCCCTGCAAACCTGATTGACGATTTTGAAACTATCCTGATTTACAGTTTGCAAGTCTTTTAGTTGTTTGCAGCATTGAAATGCTTGCCATCATTTCTGAGAACTGCTACACAATAATTAAAATCAGGAAATTCAGTACAGTCTGAGATCTTTTCCATCTTTTCAAAACACATACCAACTCTACTTTATTCTATAGATATCAAATCTACACATATTTTCTAAAAAAACCTCAATCTTTTTTTAGTGTTTGCAGATAGAAGTAAGGTTCCACAGAACACAGTAAGCTTGTTTTTCATGGAGAAATATGGATAGAAAAGCATCATTCATGACAGTAAGGAGAACAGAAACTAATACGGTCGCTATTTTACCTAAAGCCACAAAGGACAAGTAGTATCTAGAAAAGTGTTTGAGGGATTGAACAACAACATGCTTCAAAAAAATGTTCAGAAGCCAAGACTGACACATAACTATTTCCCGTATATACAAGTACTTCACTTTGACCTCAATGGAACTACAGACTTATTTAAAATTAAGTAATTAATTGAAGCAAATTCAGAGTAAACAATGCTACTATTGAGGAGAAGATATGATTATACTGAGTATATTTTCTGGGAAAATTAACAGGGATTTTCAGTAAAAAGTTAACATTGTTAAGAAATGTTAGCAATTCTGTTCCAAGAAGGACCCAAATCTTACCTGGAGTACAATATCAAGAATATATGCATTACAAAATATGGGTTGAATCATTACTACCAGCACTGAGTAGAATAAATCAAAAGCTCTACCTGAATGCCCTTCAGCCCAGTGTAAATCAAACCTGAGCATCAGCTTTGTAGTTTAGAGGGTTTTTGAATAATTAATAATGTCAGCAGAATACAAGATTTCTAAAATACACCTTAAAAATGTGTAAAAATATCTAGCTTAAGTGTCACTATGGGGGCTAGCTGTGTAAAACGGACTGTATCTAGAACAATAAAGTATGCCCCATCCTCTTGTGATTTCATAGAATAGCTTTGCTTTGACGAGCTTTTTTTTTTTTTTTTTTTTTTTTTTTTCTGATTTTAACCACTCCGCAGGGTGTGGCAGGGCAAAAGAACATTTCAGAGTCTGCCTTCTTCCATGAAAAGAACAGCCAATTCTGAAGAAGTTAGTGACTCCAGATGCCTTTATAAACCACAGCCAGCACATGAAGGGATGTGTACTCCACTGGTTGAGCAATGTAACCACAATTAAAAAAAAAAAAAGATGCTAGCTTTTGCAGCAGGATAGGAATGCAGCCTTCTGCATCTCTGCGTGATTTAAGACCTGATATTGATAAAGTCAAATTTGCCCTCCCAAGCAATATTTGTATAACGGAACTTGTATAATAATTGTAGTATTTTGCAATTTAACTTCATAATCCAGCCAAACAGAATTTCAAGTTTATTATCTGTGAACTCATGCATAAGTTTTAATGTTTCAATATCTGAGGCCTGAGACATTTATCTCAATTTTTGCTGAAATAAAAACAAGCAAAAAACCTGAACATTAAAAAACAGACCTGCTTGTTTAGGTTCCTTCTTTGGTCTAGATCTGTTATCTGTAGACTTCCAGAAACATACTTAAACACTAGATAATTCAATTTAGAAAAGATACGCATGTTCTTGAATAACTTCCAGTTCTTCTCTTAACTTCTTAATTTCTCATCACAAGAGATCTTATTTTGTTTTTTGCTTGTGTAATTTTGTAGACTGCTTTATTTGGTGCTTTTTAATTAAGAAGTCTTTATACGGCATTAAATCAGTCCCTGCATTAAAATGGCTTGGTCATAGATATAGATATGACTCAGTTCTAACAAATATCAAGCATTATTTTGACCTTAACAGAATTACTAGTATCATGTTACAATCAGAATAACAAGGAAATAATTTACTAAGAATTAAGAATACTTGATGTAGACTTCTATTATACAGTATAAAACATAATATTGTTTTTAAAAATTAGAGCCTATTTTGTGTATTTTTGATTGCACATTGTTCCGCATAATACACAACACTGATTCATTCAGTAAGTGGAATTCTTTATGTAAAATTGCAGGCATTGTATCAAGCAATTTTCTATCTTTTTACATAGAAGGGCTAGTTAGACTACTGTCAGTAGAAACAAAAAAGAATAACATCTCTTTTCAAGAAGTAGGCCTTTCCTTTTTTTATGAAGAGAACTCTTATATTTCCCCTCTTCAAACAATAAAATAAGTATTTTGAATATTTGGTGGGGGAATTTTATATGTAGCATTTGTTTAGACTAGTAACAAAAGGTTAGGTTTCTTGATTCAAAGATCACTAAAGCCAAGTTGCAGTTGTGAAAGTTCTTGCTATCCTTCTCTCACAGAGATCTAAAACAACACACATGGTCAAAACATTTCTAACCAACAAATGGACCAATTTGCCAAAGCAAATGTATCAATTTGCCAGTAAGACAATGATACTGGGAACAATGGCAAAATTTTCACAACTTATACATCACGCTTCCATGGCAATAGTTATTTCCCATGGACACAACTGTTATTGGAGTAGAACCTGGGAACTGCTAGTCAAAAAAAAAAAAATGCTAAGTCACATACTAGGTTATCCTGCCTCACTGCTTTGTGGAATTACTTAGACTTTCTCTTCAGTTCCTTCCATACATGCAATCAGACTGGGCAAGATTGATAACCTCAATACATCAAAGTAAATACAGTCCATAGGTGCTTTAATCTGATCACAGCAGAACGTCACCTGCATTTGAGTTTACAGAAGAACTGATGTTCACCCTCCCTACTTGGTCACAGGAATCAGAATCCCACAATAATGATCTGAATGAGGCACAGAGAGAGTGTGTAAATGAAACCTGACATTCGTACATTGAACTGGCTTGGGTAATGGAACCTATATCTTGTTCCTGGACTCAAGTGCACATAAAACTTAGAGAGGAACATGCAGGTGGGGCCATCAGTAACTGCAAACAGGGTATAAAATTCAGGAGAGATTTTTGTTGTGTAGTGATTTTCCTCTATAGGCAAAATTTATAAAAAGAAAGACAAATAAGAAAAATTACATCTGTTCTTATGTGTCCTGATATGACATTTGCCAGAAGTGGATAGATGATCTATCTGCCTGCACATTAATAATATGTCCCTTTCAAAATCACCCATTAACTCCTACTCATTGTATCAAGAACTCTGGTTCTGACTGCTAACTGTACAGCTTCATTTGGAATTGATGCTTGAAACACATCTCTTCAACCTACTTGAGCTGGAAATTTTCTCAAGACAAAATGTACAACTAACAGTGACTAACAGTTTTACGCATGAGCACAGACAAATGCATACCCCATAAAAATATGAAAGAACAACATTGTATTAGATTCATTTTTATTAAAATGTCATTTTAATTGAAATTCTAATTTGTGGCCACTTTTATTCATACAACATCAAGAAAATGTAAAAAAAAAAAGTTTAAAATGGAAACTCCATATGTTCAACAAGGGCTGTGCTGAGTCTAAAAGGAATCATGGGGCACCCATTCCTGGAATTCAATAATTAAATTTTAAAAAGAAAACAGAATTGAACCACAACTTGTTTTATAAACAAAATAATGGTTCTGTATTTTACTTCTGCTCTCTGATGAAGCACAAGAGAAGCAATTGTTTATCAGTGACATTTTCAAGTATTCACTTTCTAAGGAATTGGTCCATGTTAAAGTGAAATTACGGGTCAACAAGTAATTATGAGACCAGGCTCTACTTTGAGACCCTGTTGAAGCAAACAGAAATAGGACAAGAACAAGGCACCTCACTCAATACCCTAATTTATCAGCTGTTGTGCCAGAATGAGCGCAGTGCTTTTGAAGGACGATTTGGAGGCTGCTGGGATTCTGGTACCCAGAAACAGACATGAGAAGATCAAAATGCAGGGCTAGTAATTCTGTGTATGTGACTAGGTAACAGACAGGATTCAGCACCATGAACAACACCATGTTCTCTTATTTCACTCACTCTGCTAAAACAAAATTTAGCATTGACTAGTAGGTTCATGGCCATAAGTGAAACCTGATCTGAGAAAATGTAACATCTTACTGAACTCTGACAAGTTTTATTTGTTGTAATTAGAGCAGGCAGAATGGTAACCCTCTAACAGATGACCTTTTATATAAATACAAGATTTGTAATTTTCTTTTTTATGTACAAAAATATGATGGTCATGTCAGAAAACAGTTCTGTAGTAGGTCAACCTATGTAGCTTTTCTCTTTTAAATGAATGTTTATAGTCTGTGTTTTCTGCTACCCATCTTAAACAATTTTAAAGCTAGCTGTACCTTAAAAAAAAAACCCAAAACTTACAGAAATAAGCAGCTTAATTAGAATTTTATGCGAAGAAGGACAAACAGGTATAATCAGGGATGGCTACCTGATAAGAATCTTATGTCTGCCAGAAGCACCTCTGAGGAGCCCATAAACCTCCTCTCTCCCATACGCCCTCGAATAGCAAGAAGAATAAAGATGAAAACTACTGTGAAGGGAACTGAATAACTGCAGAGTAGTGATGCTGTAACATTCATTTTAAAAAAGATACACTTCCTTATTTTTGAAGGTACTTGTGCTTTAGGTATAACAGAGCACTAGTTTTTATTTGTGAGATGCCAGGGTGGGGAGAGCAGGTAAGCTCTGTGGCTCCCTTCATAGGAAACAGGATACAAGAAATACAATTTAAGCAGGCATGTTCTCAGTCCTGTTTGTGAAATCATTCTTAGCCAAGACCCGGAACCAAAGATTACTAATGAAATAGAATAAATTCCATTTAAAACTATGGATTTGGGGTGATGTCCTAAATTAATATTCTTTGAGAGACCTGGAGGTAAGTAGAGTGATTATACTCTAGAATTAAATTTCATTTAGCTTGCTGAAGCTTAAGTGAAATACATTTCATATTAATTAGTCAATTAAACACATATTTTAAGCAAAGTCTAATTTAGTCTTTACCTACAGATTACTCCATTTTAACTTCATCTGTTAATAATTTAAGATACCAGCTTTCATAAGTCAAAACAATCCAAAAGTATCCATAAGAGGACTGAATTGATTTAGCAACTCAGGAACATTTTTAGTTACTTGGTGCAATTAGACTATGTATGCAAATTGCCATAATAAAATTCTCTATTTCATCCTAATAGGCATCATTGTGTTTGGAAAGAGAAAAATAAAAAAAAAGCAGGCATTTTATCACCAAAGGAAACAAAACGATCCCATTAATATTCCAACATTATAATACACATCAAATGTCTTTTATGGAGCAGTCTTCAGTGTTCTCTGCAGCACCTTTTAAAAAGGCCATGATAAAAATATCTTAGAGGATAGGCATGACTTTATTAATTTTGCTAATTACATTAATAGATTGTTTTAACACAGAAATTACTCTAAACTTGTGAATTCCTTGTAGTCTGCCTCTTTTGAAAGGTACAAGCCAGCTTTTCTCTTTGAAAGTTCATAATTCCCTGAAGTTAAGGAGCTTTCTTGTTACTTCTCTCTTTTAGCATGAGCATGTTTTCCCAGAAAAATGACTTGGCATATTTAATAATAGCTTTTCCCCCCTAATATTGATTGGAGAGAAATAGGTTTGTTATTACCCTAAACTGAGAATGATGGATTTAGAATTGAGCAATTTACAATCTGAGGAATTTAAATTGTCTTACTCAACTCTACTGCATCATTGAGAAATACCTCCATTACAAGAAGCAGATTTGGGATCTGACGTTCAAAGTTCAACCTGCAGATAGCATGAACATCTGGTACCTTAAACAGTATGGTGATCATTAAGAGAATATACCTACAGTTAACACCATTTGTTCACCGATAACTGTAAAATCCTTAATGGGCTCTGGGAGCACAGATGGGCTGACAGAAGACACAAGTCAAGCACTGCTGCTTTTCTCAAGACAGCGTCCAACCGCGGCACCCCAACCCATGCTGCCAGATGCTACTTACCTGTTTCTTCTGTGTGGACAACAGACCTTTTCCCCCTGTTTCCACTCCCGTTCCAGATTTCCTTTTGGAAGCTCTCAGCTGGGCCAGGACCAGGAAGCCTGTGTTCCTAACGGGGAGAAGCCAGAGTCAGCAAAAGCAGCCTCACATTTGCTCATCCCCTGCAAGCCAAAAACCGCCCCTCCAGCTTACCTGCCTGGCGGCAGCTGCAGACACTTGCAGGAAGGAAGAAACAGGGGTAGCCGCTTTATTTTCATCAGGGGACACGGGCGGCCTGTCTAGCAGAGACCTTGCCTGGACCCTGTAGATCAGCTTGCTGCGCAGAGCTTCTAGTTCTGTTTTCAGGGTGATAACATGGTAAAGAGACACTGCTGCAAGACAAGAGGACAGGAGCATTGCAAGCCACAGGAATGTGACAGAAAAAAGTCCCGTGGTGCCTGAAGCAGCACCAGGGGGGGCAGAGGGAGAAGAGGCGGTATCCTTCTGTTGGATGACGTGCACACAGTCCACGGATTTCATCGCTGCTCTTTCCTCACTAAAGCCAGAGGGAGAGTTCAGCTGTCCCCTTCCGAGGTGCAATCCATGTTACCAGTTGCTCTCTGAAACTAAGGGCATCCAGAATAAGTGAACAAAACGCCCAGATCATTTCCTGTCATATGAAGCCGTTGATAGAACCATTAAACTTAATGTACAGAGTGAACGTCTAAGATTCGGTCTCTGTTTAGTTTTCTTCTTTCTGTGCTGCATTTTGGAAATTAATACTTTCTCATGAGCTGCTTGCTCAATCTACCTTCCTCCTTTCACTTTCAACTATTTATTTATGTGGCAGCTTGCTATTACCGTTTCCCATTATCTTTAAACTTAGGCACAGCCAGTATGACTGGAAATTTAGAGCCTTATCTAGAAGTGCAGAAAGAACGTGAAGTTTCCTGGCAGTATATCATCCAATGCTACTTAAAACGCATACATATATAACAATCAATGAACGTGTCTCTACGTGTGTGTGTAGGTATATAGTTGTACTGTGTATATAAATCATATAATCTATATTAAGGTATATAGATGTACTATGTATATAAATTATATCATTTTAATATATATATATATTAATATCTAAAGTGACTACACACCTATAGAGGGGTTAACTTATTCAAACAGAAATTTTTGTGGTTTCCTAAACACAATAGTGAAAAATATTCTGAGGTATAAGTAACAAATTACTGGTTTCTCAGCTGTATGAAGTTGTAGATTCTGCAGGTGAGCTCATCATACTAATTTGAAGAAGGATGACTTTTTATTAAAGTTATCTAATAAATACAGTTCTACAGAGTTCAAGGACCTGGATTAATGCAAAAGAGGACACGGAGAAGCAGGGAAAGGAAACCTGGAGTGGGACAGGGGGAACAACAAGGGGTGAAAACTACAGGATGGGAAAGAACAAGAGAGGGGAAAATAAAAATGGGGGGAGAAAGGGGCAAAGGGGTATAGAAGGAAAATAACATTTAGATAATTTTTTTAAAACCCACAAAACTCTAAACACCTATGCTTTACTTTTTCAGGCGAATCCTGAGGGTCTGGCTTAAGCTCATTTTAAGATTTTACTAGTCTTTCTTCTTGAAACCCTGCATTAGGAATTCCTTTCTTCTCTGCAGCAGCAACGCTACCTAAATATCCAAAACATGTTCATATGGTTTTTTGTATTGTTTTCTCACATAAAATTAAAGTTCTGCACCTTTGTTAAAAGTTTCAGTAACCTGGGACAAGAAAAAAAATACCAAAAAGCATCACAATTAGGGCTAAATTCAACAAGGCAACCCCCTGCACTGGAGTATAAATATTTTTACCATGTAAGTAAACTATATTTACAAGAGAGTGAACTTTTACAGGTCTGTCTGCGTACTGTGTAATGAATCCTGATGGCAATACTCAGAGTAGCTCAGATCAAGTTGATTCTGTTGGAAAGGAGAAGGAAGAAGGAGCAACAATAGAGTAACAACTTCTGTAGCCTCTCCCACTTCTATTTCTTAAGAATATGAGAAACTGAGGGTTATTATAAGTTTTATCATCTTCCGTTGTGATACAAGGTACTCTTTTCCACACTTTGCCACCTCTAGAAACGGCCCAGTATCCTGCTCAGACAGCTAATTATTTTCCTAAACACAGAGGAAAAAGAATTATAATTATAATATGCTCCTAGAGGGTAGGTACATACTGTGAGAAATGATACAGAAATCCAAAGGGTGGAATGTGAGCAGAATACCATGCCGTTTCTGTACCTATTTTCAAGGCTAAGTTAAGGTGCAAATGGGGCTGCATTTTGAAGGAGATTTAAGATGAGCTAAGGTAGGTTTTTTTGGGACAAAATAAGCAATTATTAGAACTAAGCAGACATGCCTTGAAGCATCACTAGACATCATAACATTACCAGCCTAGTACTGACTGTGTTCCAAAAATAAAATGACAGTTGGAAAAGAAGTACTATTTAAGAAAATGAAACCAAGAGAGAGAATGAACATTAGGACTAGCTATCCAGGAATACTGAGAAACAACTGGCCGGTGAGGTCTCTGTGGTCATTAACATATAAGAAAATAATAGACAGGTATATAATTAGCATCACTCTAGTTGCTTCTAGAGAAAATAGGCTGTTCCCAGCCTTCACACCTTCTTTAAATGGGGTCATTATTTGGGCTGACAAAATAACTGTGGTGACACAGAGGACTTCTGTAAGACATCTGGCTTTGTCTTGCTTATCATTCTGATAAATGAGAATTTCAAAGGAGATGAGGAAAATCAGAACAGCCCACAAATGGTAAATTGTTAAATTCAACAGGAGTTTCTAGTTCAGTATCAAAGGGATCACTGTTTGCAATCTTGTGCTGTTCTTACAGCTTCATAAGCAGTTAAGTAATTTGAAATAAAATATAATTTTAGACAACTTTTGTGATGACAAAAACAGTGGAACAATAAATGATGATGGTGACAGATCAATCATGAAAAATAACACGACTTGCCTAGAAATACATTTAGCTGAACAACTTCCATTTTCACACAATCAAATAAAGCTTCAGTAAAATGCAGGCTACTAATTGCATTAAAGTAAAAACTCAGAAAAATTACATTTAAAACGAAACAAACAAACAAACAAAACCCCATGCTAGTTAGAGAGCCCAGAGCGTGGAGTCGGTGCCTCAATGCTGGCTGCTATGTCTTGCCATAACACACTGTCCTTATCATTCCTCTTGTTGGCAGAGCTGCAAAGTAGTCCTTAACCTGTTTAAAGCAAAGTCAGTGAGATTAACACACGTGCAGTTTCTTCTGTGTTTTAAACTAAGTTATGACTAAAGACAACTAAGGAGTGCCCAAATCAGTCTGCTTTTAGCAGACATGGGAGGGTGCTGACTCCAGCTGAACACAAGCTCTCAGTGGAACATTCTTGTTGAAACAAAAGTGTAATATTTGAATATATATGCTGGAACAAAATATTAAGCAAAAATGAGAGGTAGCAGTTACCGTGCTTTTATATCAACAAAACTGTTTGCATATAGTTATGACTGTCAAAACCAAACAGCAAAAAAGCTTTAGAACAAAAATCTAGAATGAATGTAAGAGGACAGAAGAGCTCATTGTGGAAAGGATATTCAGTTTGTGGTTAGCAGCATGCTTCTACCTGCCAGCATCCCTGAAAGCCCTTTTGCAAAAGTTTCTATCATATTAACTGGTTTTGGCTCAAGACACACATGCTACACTACACATGCATGCAGTAAAACCTTAGGGCAACAAGTGACCACCTCAAGCCCCATTCAAAGCAGTGTTTTCCAAACTGTTTCTAGAAAACAAAATGGCACTGCATTCAACTGCACAAACCTAGTCCTGGCCATCTAACTCTGGAAGCAAATAGGAATAAACCCTTATAATAAAAGTATTCTGAAAGTATAGTCCTATTTTGCATGTACAGTGCAGTTGATCCATGCATACACAGTGAATCCAAACCACTTAGTTTCTCCTTAACCCAAATGAGCTATGTTGAACTATCAGGTTGACTAAGAGATGTTCTTTAATTTAGTCAAGGGAAACTATTAAGAAATGCCTTGGCTACTCTAAGAATTTTACTTAACCAAGTCTTTTACTTTTGGGAAAAAAAGCAAACTTTTAGGTAAAACTCAAAGTAGTAATAATAATAATAAAAAATAATAATAATAATAATACAACATTACCACTGGTGACTCTTAATGGTGAGAATATTTCACTAGGGGAAATGGAATCCTGAGCAAAATCAAGGCTGGTTAAACCTTCGAAGACATTATAGCAGAAACAAACCCTGCAATTTCTGCAAGCAATTATTTTTTTTTTCATTTCCATTATGCAGAGTATCAGATTAAATGATCAAGATGGGCCCTGCCGACCTGCAAATTTATAAAACTTCATCGCTACATCTGCGGGGAACCAAGGCAGAGATAGTAAGCAATCACACAGGAAATTTGTGGTTGAACCAGAAACTGAACTCTTGATTTCCTGAAATCCAGTACTGTACTTTAACCACAAAAGCAGCATCTTTGAGGGGGAGGAAAATCCCATAATGAAGTTTAACGTACAAAAGAGAAGCAGATGATTCAAATATGAACTTGGATAAAAACCCAATTAACTAAAGAAATGTGAAAGTTTACTTAAAAAATGAATGTTCTGCTCTTAAAAGGGAGGTTATGCAGATGCTGCGATTGAGAGATCCAGGCAAATGTTAATGGCCATACTAAAAAGTATGCCTCCAGTGGCAAAGGTCCAACTTCACATACTTCTGAAGTAGCCACAAAATGGAACTGGTCCCCATCGTTATTACAAAAAGAAAGAGGCCACGACAGCTTACCCTGCTACACAAGACAGTGCAGAACAGGTAGAGGAGCAAAGAATCAGCAAAGGTTCCATTTTAAAGATGCTTAATTTCAAGTTCTTTCTGAAGATGGACAAAATGGACAAACTATTTTGGAGGAGATCAGAATAAATCCTGCATGACAGTTTTCTGCTATTACAGATATCTGTATTAAGAGTATTCATAAAAAGCCCTCTGAAACAGTACACATTCCCTTCAAAGACACTTAATTAGTTCCTTCAGCCATTAACTGCAATTTACACAGCAGCAAAACGAGGCAAGTTCCTGCCTCACACATAGATCCAAAAATCAGTCTTGTGGATACTGTGCTCCTGTGGCTGTATATCTTACATCATATTATCTTAAATTTTAGGAAGCTGTTGAATATCTTGCAAGTAAAGGAAGTGTTATACAAACAGTTAAAGCTTTATTTGATATATTATTTTGCTAAAAGGAACAAAAAAAATCCTGCAAGATTTTTCTGAAGCAAAAGAGGTATTCTTTTCTCTTTGCCTCCCAATTTCAAAATTGCCTAGGATAACACAGGTGTCTCTGCACATTTTAGACATGCCATGCATAATTTATTCCTTGCCTAGGACTTTATTTCTCTAGATATCTAGACAATTTGCATCCAAATGTGGCATGCATACTACACAAAGTCAAACATACAGCTGACTTGCAGCCATCGTTACTTTTTACATGGTTATTACAGCACTTTCAAAGAGAATAGGAAACAACACAGGAAGGAAAAGCAATTATTATAGGTGTCTCTCAAAGTATGAAGCAGAACCAACAAGAAATGTAAAATAATTTTAAAAATATATAAAATATAAAAAGAAAACGCAAGATTTATATACTACAGCATCTTAACGCCAGCCTCCTCCCCTTCCCCTCCTTCCCCTCCGCCCCCATGATGTTATAGCAATTCCTTACTGCACGGGGAAAAAGGCGCTCTGTCATACGGTTGTAGCTCACTTCTCTTATAATCTCACTGGCCTGGCTATCCAGCAACAGGGAGTAGTGCATTTCTCCACCTCTTCGGCGCTGTGCAATCTTGACAGATTTTGAACAGATGGGATAAAAATGCGTTTGTATGGTATCAAAATAAACAAGGAGCCGTGGCCCTTCGTGTGGGAGTGGCCACTCTGCTGCTGCTACATACAGTCTGTGGACCCTTAATAGAGAGCGCAGGACAGGGATCCAAGTATTTTCTAATCATAGCATTATTTCTTCACAGCTGTATCTAATTACTACACTGTCCCTGAGTCCTTAAGGGCAGAAAAGGAAGGGTTCTCTGCCTGACCTCTCCCTTTGAATTTTTGTAAATAATTAGCCCACACCAGACATAAGCATAACACAAAACAGCTGCAGAGCTCCCTTTCTGTCTTCAAGCAGCAAAATCCCTTCCTTAGTTGCTAATCAGAACCAGCAGCATCTCCCTGAACTTGGTATGTAAGCAACCTTGCAGTTTTGCATTACTGAGCCCATTGCTTAAGATTACAGATGTATCTCCAATTACTGTGAGTGAAACCATGTTCTGTAATACATTAAACTCAGGTCTGCTCTTAAACTGTATTATCTTTCACGGGAAGAAAAATTGCTGTTTTTAAAAAATATAGGAGAGTTATTCCATCCCCACCCAAGCTGAAGCATAACAAATTAATCACATTAAGGTTGCCAAAACATTTCCAGAAAGTATTCAGTGTATCTTCCTTATCTATTTACAGAGACAGAACTCCGTAAAAAAAGCCTAAGATTAAGACCCTGAATAGGATCCAACAAAGGATTTAAGCCTCAAGCGTGTTCAGTCTCTTTGGTCTGAATAATTTTTGTTTAGCCAATTGTTCAGTATTTTCTCAAAACCTTACCTACCTCTAGTTGATCTTTTTAATATACAGCACATCCCCTGCCTTTGTTTCAGGAGTCATTCCTAGCATTTTAGTTCAGATGATCACATGCTTTTATGATTGTTTACTATGATTTAAGTAGTACTTGCAAAGTGAGAGAAATTCAAATACTGTACCTTTGTCTATCTGATATGAAGGTCTATACGTTTCTACAAGGCAAGTGAATATAATATCATGAGACATTTTAGGACACAGTTTATGTTGCATTTCGTAGCCCAGCTGCTTATCAATTTTCAGATAAGAAAAAGCAAATTCAGGACTTGTATTCTTCAGAGCAGCACTGTGCAAGAAAGGTTTAGTGACATAGTTCCCAAGACAGCAAATTGCTTTTCATTCAAGAAAGGCAGTATTAACATGAAGCACCTGAGTATGAGTCGCTCCTTTACTTTCATTGCTTCAGGAATCAGAAATACCTTTTTTCCATTCAGAATAGGTATTGTGAAAAAAGTGCCAAAATGTGTCACCCACCCCCTTAAATCTGTTTCCTAGTTACTGGGTTAAAATTGAGCTACAAGCCTTGCAGTAATCCAGGAGAGAACAAACATTTTGCAGCTTCAGAAAAGAGCAGTAAATCCTTATTTTCTGGGTATTTTTCATTATCCATGTAGGATGGGAACAGAGGTGACATAAGCTTAGTTATCCATATCTCTGTAAGGAAGTAGAAATTGTTTCAGCCCGAGCATCCCACTGCAGCTACCTGAATTTACTGAACACCTGCTAGAGTGGCATTATAGCATTTAAAAATGCCGTTTAAAATATTACCTGCAACAGGTGGTAAAACCAGTCAGAACACTTAAAAATATTTCTTAAGTAACATAGCACTTAGTTCATAGAACTCTCAGTTCCCCAGATAACAGAAGAAATTTTGAAATGCAGAATATGTTATAAAGTGACTGAAAGCTACTGCATATCAGTTTTAATTATTAACTCTTCCTGGAAGCCAGGATACATGACAAAGCTTAGAAATCGATATTTGTAATACAGTTTTTCCCTCCTGTAACAGCTTTCCTGAAACTCCACATCTAACAATGCAGATGTCTATTCCATGTGCTCTGGTTTTAATAAGTAACGGAAAACGATACCTGGAGGTTGATCAGTTACCATGCATACAAAAATAACCCTGCACACATACTGAAGACAGGCCACAAACTAGAACAAGACATTAACAGCACTTTTAATGTATCAATTTATTGCATATGTCAGTACATAAAAATAGAAAAGTGTTTTTTGTAAAATTAATTTTACTGTAAAAACCAGACTAGAATGAAAATGTAAAACTTTGCCACAATTAGCACATATACAGTAACATTTATGCTTTGTCTACAAAACTTAAGAATACTTTATAAGACTTTTGGCTTTAACTATATATTAAAGAAAAATCAAATAAAAAGCTTGCATCATATATTCAATGACTGTTTCTGAATTCAAAACACAAGTGTTATTTAGAACTTCAGTATGCTATTTCTATTTACACTTTTGCGGGGGTCTACTCTGAATTATACAAGTAGGATAGCATTTTAAATCATTCTTAATGGGATACATCAAGCTGATCCCACTACATGCAAGAGGCACTGATTTTATATTTGGCAGAAGTGCCCCTAGCAAAATCACCTGTCATTAACAAAAATAAAAATGTACTTCTCATTAATTGAATTATGAAATACAAATGGAGGTATGTCTGCATCTTTTTGCTAATAGAAGAGACCATACCTTGGACTCTCAATTCAGCCTTGCATTCTTCAGCACGAACATCCAACATGACGCAAAGGATTAGCTTAGAGATGCTGATATGCATATTTTTTTTTAAATAGTTAATCCACCTGCCCTTCAACTGAGAGATTGTCCGTAGCCTACCAAATGTATTTGTGCTCTATTTCTAATTTTACCTGAGAAATGGACATGAGGGCAGCTACGCTAGTTAGCATTTCTTCAGATGAAAGCATAGCTTATCTCTCTGCACTTCACAGTTCAGAAACAAATATTGGGAATGTAAACTTGGGTTAGCAGGAAGCCCCAAGTATTTCCACTAATTAAAACCACACACACGTGTGCACACACAAGGCCTTATACTGGATGCTTCCTTACAAGGACTCTACTGCTACAGCTGTTCTAGTTCAACCCCCACCCCCCCCTTTTTTTTTTTCTTTTTTTTTTAAACTTAAAGTTCCTCTTATAAAAGAGACAATTCCTTTAATGAGCATATTTAAACCAAGAAGCTTTTTTACAAAGTTGTGAAAATAACTCAACTTCCTCTTCCCAAACTAGGAATTTATATATACAGGACAAATACTTGGGAAACGTCTATACATAAACAGAGAACTGTTAAAGGAAAACATGTAATAGTATTAAGTGGAATAAATACAACAGTATCATAATACACCTTTTGGCAATTTAAAGTTACTAGTGTTGTTTGCAGTTCACTTTTTAGCAGCCAATAACTGGGTTTCCATCACAGAGAACATGAATTAAAAACAAGTCTTGACTTGTCAGAACAAGTTTGTTCCCCCTTCTCCCTCCCTTAAAATATCATATGTACAGCAGTGGAGTATTTGCATAAAAAAAAAAAAAATCATTTCCTTCCTATTTTCTTTCAGTGGATTTCATAGCCAATGCAATGAGAAACAGCATAACAGACATTCATTCACAAATGCATGTGCCCAACCCATTAAGGGAGAAGTAAAAACGTGCATATGTGGAAGGTGGAAGAAACCCCGTAAGTATAAAGGATGCATGTGACAGTTGTGTCTTCTCATACCCAATACTTGCAAAATCAGAAAAAGTTTCATCTTTATGTCCTGCAGACAGTATAGTGAAAAGATATGGCTTCATAATCACAAGTAATGCTTGGATACAGTCCATTCTGACTAGCTTGATTGCCATAACCTAATGCCGCACATTTGACCTTGATTTAGCAACTGCATGCCCAAATGAGAATACTTCATTGGTATACAAGTGCCACATAACACTGGGGGTATCTGGGGTTGAGGTTTTTGTTTGTCTTTGATTGGGGAGAAGTAGGATAAAAAGTCACATTACTTTAGAAATCAACGTTTTATGAAAAAAAAAAAAAAAGATAGTATTTAATGGCAAGTTATGACAACTTCTGAAACATTTCCTTTTTCTTCATTCTGTCTCCAACATTCTTTTGGCTTTATCTTATTTTTAGAAAAGCAGTATTTACCCACTTATTTTCATTTTCTCCCCCCATCTTTATTTTAAATCACTGTGAAGTGGCTGAAACAATCTCTGCAAGCAGCTCACATCATCATTGTAGAATACATCAGGGAAAGGGAATGCTATGTCTATTAACTCCCTTCTGCTAAACAAACACCCAACCTCCCCCAGCCAACTTCATCAATCTACCATCTCCACCCACCTCGCCTCTGCCTCCAGAAATATACCACCACTGGAAGGCTGAGGAGATAGTTTTGGTTTCACTTAAATTTAAAACTATGCTCTGACTATAATTATTTTAGGTCTATAGATCCAAAAAGGTCTACAGCTTTTTCAATCAACTCTAAGAAAACCTTCATAGTTTGACAAAAGATACTTACCAGAGAAAGCAGCAACTTCTGGTATGTATATGTTTATTTAAAAATAAATTAAAAAACCCCACCAAACACATTTAAGAAAAGATGTATCACCCACCCTATCTATAAACTGCTGACAACTATTATCCATGTGTACACAAGACCTGTAATTCCACGTAATAAATTTTAGGAGGCATAACCATTAAGGCACCAGTTCAGGAAAGCAGTTTTATTCAACCAGAGAACTTAAGCACAAGCTTAAAATACCACTGTCCACCAGCAAACAGATTTTAAGTGTGTGCTGAGATGCTTTTCTGAATCAGGACAACATGGCAGAAAAGTTTATTTAAAAATTTCAATCCGAAGGGCAATTGCACAGATTGTGTGGAAGATTCTCCACAGTTTGTTCTTCCCATAAAAAAATATTTTGAAGAGGCAAACTATCAGCTGCAGCAAATGAGAAATTAAACCTGCAGACTCCATGCTCCAATATGGACTGAGCTAACAGCATTCAACTTCGATATGACCACCTAGGATAAGGACTCCTAAAAACAAACAAAAGAACCCCAACACTCAGTCAGAATCAAACTCTCTCAATTTAAGTACTGCTGGCTCTGAAATGATGATACTAGCTTCAGAAATCACAGAAAGGCTAAAATTCACTTCTGCTGATGCTTAGGCTGCTTCCACATGGTACAAGAGAACTGTAAAAGACTTTCTGCAAGCAAATGGGTAAAAGTGTTGAAATTAATGTCTCTAACTTAGGTCTAACTAACCAAGCTTAGCTCTACTAAATTTAATGCACTGCTCATTTTTATTATCCTTACTGTTAAAACAGTACGCATTAATCTCTAATCATGTGATCACTGGTAATTATTTTGATTTCTTTTGGAGATATAAAGGGCACAGACATTTAACTACATTAGCCTAAAAGAAAAAAAAAAAAAACAAACCAAACACAAAACCACAAATACATACTTTTACCTTGTATGACACTCCTATCACATCACTCATTTTGCCTTGGGAAATCTCACCTCAAATGCACAAGCAGACTAATACCAACACACAGTTTGCCTGTACATTAGGTGAGGAAAGCTTGGGGTGGAAAGGAGCTTAGATCACACTGCTCTCTTTTTGAAAGTTACTTCTATTTTCTGTGAAGAAATTGCCTAGGCAAAATCCTGAAACCATGGTGTCTGGGCACATACAACTTTCTGGGCGCTATTATAATACGAATAGTAAAATGAAAACAGGGCAAGTGTCTTTTCCTCTTCGGTTGCAGTTTGAAATATGTATGTATGTATAACCATAAAAAACAGTAATAACCCAGGATAGCATTCCTGCAAGTATACTGTACCATTACTGTTCTTTTATATTATTTAGCACATTAAAAGACTTCCCACCTTGCATAATATAAAATTTCAAGGAATAAAACACTAATCTCATGCATAGCACACTTTAAATAAACTCTTAAGAAAAGCAACAAATCATTGTGCTAACCATGACTGCCCACAAAGCTCACACATACAGTAGTGAATACTGAAGAGCCTCCCGTTGTTCTAAACTAATACATTCTGTACTGCTTTTGTAGCAAGTTTCTTTAATAGCATCTGTTGTACATATCAAACAAATGGAATATATGGACAGAGATACCAAAAAAGTATGAGAAAGACATAAAATGGTTCATTTACAATGCTGCAAATGTAAAAGTTATCTGGAACATCTTAATAAAGCATCAAACCTTTCCAAGTTTAATTTCACTCTTTAGGCAAGTACAGACATGACATACATTTAAAAATGGACATTCTTTTACCACTTTTCACAAATCAAGGTACAGTGCAGGTACTCCCCCCACCACAAAGAAGAATATCAGTTATATTATTGTTACGTTAGATGACGTTTTCGCCATTTCTTCAGGGGAGTGACTCTTTATTACTTCTTTGATGAACTGTTCAAGTGCAGTGAAATAACCCTGGCACTGCCAAGTGTCATTATGAGTCCCATCAGGAAATATCGCCAATCTCTTAGTCCGAGCTGGGGATAATTCATAGAGTTGCTTCATCATAACTGGTGGAATTAACTGGTCAGACAACCCAGAGATGAAGAGAGAAGGCATTCTGCACTGAGAGATTTTTCTGTAGGACAGAAATTTATTTTTATAGCACCATAAAGGAAGATACCTCATTGGAAAGAAAGAAAACAAAGTGCTGGCCATGTGTGGGATGCTAAGAAAGGTGTTCTCCACCACGATGGCAGAAATCCTGTGGGAATTTTCAGAAGCTAAGTGAATAGCTACTGCTCCCCCCAAGGAACGGCCAAAAAGAAAAATTTTTGTTTTATCAAGATCAGACCGAGTCATCACATAGTCTAACACAGCCTCAGAATCTAAGTACAAACCTTCTTCACTTGCTTCTCCTTCACTTTTTCCATACCCTCTATAATCGACAAGAATCAAGTTCACTTTCAGGTTTACCAGCATTAACAAAGCATTTGGCAACCTGTGGCCAATGTTGCCTGCATTCCCATGAAAGTAAATGATGGTTGGTGAATACGCTGCATTGTCTCCTGTGTATCTCAGCAGGATAAGATTGAGAAGAACTCCATCTTTGGTTTTGATGAAGATATTTTCATGTGGTATACCAGTAGGCATAGGAACATAAAGGCGTGATGAAGAGGGCTGCTCAGGAAAGTAAAGCAGCACATCCTGGAATTTATATAATATACCTGCTATTGATACAAATATTAATATAAGTAGTATAATGCCTCCGTACAAATGAAAAGTTACTATCAAGGGTAAAAGACAAATACGGCAGAGACTCCAAGACCAGGAAGCCAAAGCTAGTAGCCATCTTTTAACAAAGGTCCAAAGCATCCATGACTTTTCCATTGTAGAAGTCAGTGATCTTTTACTCCAAGTAAATCCTGTAAAAAAAAAAAAAACAAAACAAAACAAACAAAAACCCAAACATATATATATAAGTATAGACAAAAGGAAGAGATTTAAGCATTAATACTTGCAGAAGATTATAGCAAGTCAGTACATTACAGCATAAATATCAAGCTTCGTGGCAAACTCCCTTTGAACTTTTGGAAACCATTCAACTCTGGAACAAGCAGAAAAGCAATCATAAGGGAAAAGCTTTAGAACTCTTCAAAATCCCATTTACATTATATCAGCAGGCAAGGTCCATCAGTAGCACTAGAAAACTGGTTGACTAGGACCATAACAACTTCTGCTTTCCCTCAGTCTTCCCCACCAATCAACAGAACAACCATACAGACTGTATCACCAGTTTGTCAAAGCTTCTCATAGAAGTAATTCTGGAATCCAGAGAACACAAACAAAAATAGCCCTTATTTCTAAATTGCTACTGATGAAGGCTAAGAGTAGCATTCAATAAGCCTGTGCTCTTCACTCTGCAACCAGTAGAGGCTCACAATGTGTACCGGGTACTCTATCATTTAGTGGCTCTTTCAGAATCTTGATCAACTGTGATTACAGAGCAACACAAACTGGTCAGGAGAAAGACTCTCTTATAGGAAGATACTACATTGTAGTTACATTTCTGACAGCTTTTTTGTTATATTTGGATTGGTCCTGATTTATAAGAATAGTTTTCCACTATCAGATTAGTAATCTGTATTAAATCTTTAGCTGAATGAGAGATTGAATCCTCACATAAGATCACTGAAAATAGTCAGCTTACTACATGATTCTCTGATCAATGTAAAAGCACAAAGGCTGAGAAGTCCAAACATGAAAACAGACTCATGACAAAAACATACACTCAGCATAAAATGAGGAGAGTGATGTTAATGATGGATTAAATCTTCCAGCCATAAGAGATAGTTATGCCTCACCACATACACAGAATCTCTCACATTATTCACTGCTGGGTTCAAGTGTAATATGGAAATAAGCAAAAACTGGCAAACCTACATGAGAGCTACAGTAACCAGTCAGTCACCACCGAGCTGAATAACCATACTGTCCGGAAGCGACAATACAAGCTCACTTGTTTAAGAACAGTCTAAATTATATAGCAGATAATAATTTCAGTTTAGACACACTCAGAGTAATAACCTCCTAAAATGATCTAGCGCAGTCAGAAGCTGAATTAACTCCAAATGAGTCTAAAATGCAGAGAGATGCATCCAACCATTCAATTAAGTCACAGGACCCACACCAAAATCAACTGTATGACCCAATACTACTGGAGAGGGCTGCAACTGCACCAGCAATCTTGGTAGGATCAAGTGATAAATGGTGACCTCTGCAGTCACAACTTTTGTACTCCACAAATATTATAAGCACCCAATACGACTGGGAAAAACTACCATCTCTATTTTATGCGACAATTAGGTATAGATCAGAAATAAAAATAAATCTGTTACATATTAAGATTCACATATTAAGCAAAAGCAATATGAATTTAAGCTTTTATATAATGTATCTACCCAATTTGTAAAACTGGTGAAATATAAATAGTCTAGAGCGCAGTTATCCCAACTTTGTTATCTTATATTATTTATAAGCTCTTGTTCAATATCCACATCCAAGTATACACAAATACTGTCTATATGAAAATTTAAGTCTTGTGATCCAATTCTCTAGTAAAGTCACAGTAATTAGGAAATACAGACACTGAATTTGTAAGAGAACTTCCTAATGAAGTCGACAAACATTTCCTGCATTACACTTCAAGACTATTAAGAACACTGATAATGACAGAGTAAAAACACTCTCCTTATCCACGCAATTCAAATTTTGCTGACTTTCTTACAAAATCAAAAAGACTACAAAAATGCTTTCTCAACAGGTCATTCGCAAAAGAGTAAGTGACCCATCATTAAAAACAACTACTAAAACCTAAAGTAGTAATAAAAATCTCAGTTAAGGTGATTAAATTTTGCAGATGGCTATCCCATATACACTAAGGATTTGCTATTTGAAGACTGATACAGCTGATTTTACAAGCCATGTTAGTCTCATTTGTGCACTGCTGCTATTTTCAATTCAGTAGCATAATATCATCAAAATACTGTATTACTGAGATACTGCTGCTGTGTGATTACTTCTGAAAAATATACAAAACCTTTGCAAGTATATACAAAAACTTTGCTACTGGAGTTGCAAGACCAATGCATTCTACAACTAGAACTCAGCATATCACAGTTAGCAGGAAGGGTAAACTACACAGCCACAAATGTTTCATACTCACCTAGATATCTGAGTAAAGCTGACTACTCTAACCAACAACTACATGACTGTTAAGTTTTCTTCCCAGCTATGTAACACTTCACTAGTTCCATCTATTTGCAGGCTTAAATCAGACCACGTCTCTTACTTCACATCTTACTGCAAAATTTGTCAGCTAGAAAACCAAGAAAAAATTTTCTCCTAGGTTCTTCCCCACCTCCTTCCAATATCAACTGAAAGATCCCTAGAAAGGAAAATGATGGTTTCTCAAACAAGCACGTAGGCCTAGAAGAGACCCTAAACCAAGTCAACACAAGTTCATTCCAATAAAGCTACAAACCATGCTTTCTATGGAGCCCCAAGTAGCACACCTTCCAAACATTGTCTTGTTTGACCTGAACAGTAGAAGAAGATACAAACAGAACCAAATTTCCACTTAAATAAAAAGGGTAAGCTAATATAGTCATTTTCAGTGAGTACTAACGTGTTCCTCAACACTTTTAGAGTACATGAGATTTGAGACTTGCTCAACATACTGCAAGAGTACACACCCCACCCCCCACCCCCCCAAATCTCTTCTTGGTCTTAATTTTTCATTACTGTTGTGTTGGATGGAAAGTTATAACCCTTTGGAACAGTTTACAATATAACATCTTATGATGCAAAAACTCTATGCTGATTTATGAAGAGCACATGTTGCGATTCTCCTGCATCTCTAATTTTGTGACTAACAGGACACCAGGATAATCAGAAAAAGAGCGGTAATAAGGAAGGAAAGGCAGAACAATATATTTAGACTTTGATGTCTGAGTTGGTCAACCTGAGAAACAGAGTGGACTTGCCACCTGGACAAGCCCATTTTTGTTTCTACATAAGACTACTTCTGTTCCTAGTCTACAAGAAGCACTTACAGACTTGCTCCATAACTGCGTGATGTTCCAGTTAAATCAAGAAGTGTGCACTCCTTTATGTCTTATAAAAGAAAACTTGTAAATCAATTTCTGTCACCTGCAAATATGACTAGTTCATTACTTTTTTTTTTTTTTTAATGGCTGTTTAACAGGATTATCTCGGTTACACTGTCTTCTACTGTTAGAAGTATCACAGCTCTACATAGAGGTGGCATGAAGTATCATCCATGTATTACAGATGGAGACAGTGGAACCAAGTGCAGTCAGCAAGCTGGCCAGTGGAAGGTCATCTGTTTCAGCAAGGGAAATAAGGTTTCTCTACAGATTTCCTTTTCAAATCCCCTAGGTAAAATATTAACCCTTTGGAGATCATTCTCACTTCACTAAAAAACACTTGCTATTTTGAAGGAACATTATATTGCAGCATTATATTTAAAGTATTTGTCATAACTTTGCCAATGACAAGGTTTTCCTATAACAAGAAGTCACATCCCATTTTACAGAATACACAGCAACAGTATTTTATAACTGCTAACAAGCATAAGGAAGACTTTTTGTTCTTCAAACTTGTCATGAAAGTCAACAGCTGTGACAAGTATACAGTCATCAAGAACAGACCCATACAGTTTTATCTGGTAGATGTTTTCCTAGGTAACTGTTATATTAATGGAAATTTCTACACAAGCTGTTCTTGTTCTTAGCTACCCTTACTACCAGAAAATATTTCCTAGCACTTATCAGGGAGACTGAGTAACTTAAATCCCTTACTTCTAGTTCAGTGTTTATTAGCTTCCAAATATGTAACCTCCTTTCAATTTCTCCAGACTATATGAAGTCAGCTCCTCTATTCTTTCCTCACAGATAGGATCAGATGTCTTTCCCCTAGCATCTACCTGCTTCAAATTTCCTCCTGTCTCTCTGATAATGCTACATTAGAAGGGCTAGACTGTCAATACCGTTGGTTCATACAAGTTGGTTTTTCTGATGATGCTTGTAAAGTTAAGAGACAAGTAGAAAAGACTGACAATATTTAAATACAAAGTTCAATCGTGGAAACCATTAACACAGAAGAACAGCAACGCAGCCCAATTCAAATGTGCCTCTGGCTTAAAGGCCATTAAAGATCAGTTCAGTTTACACAGCCACAGAACTGCATAGCCTCTCCAAACAGAAATGAAATTTGGAAGTAATGACATTCAACTTTATGTCACAGGGACGTATACATATGCACACACATATCCATACATCTCCACTGCTGAATCCACAGTTCAGGAACTACCGCAGACCTCTACGTTCTATCAGATGAGCTACAAATCCCATAATTAAGTAACTACTGAAAATATAAATCACTCAACAATAAAAACTGTGAATAAAAAATAAAGCCTTTATGATCAAGACATTTTAATAATATTCTGCTGTACCCTAATGCTAGTCTTAAGTGGCTAATATAGTTATCAACTGAAGATCATAAAAACTCAAGTGCATACTTAAAGTAGTTAGCAATAATTTTCAATACACTTTGAGCGTCAGTTGAAATTACTCTTTTATTTGCCACAAATTCTGTTGTATTTTTTGTCTTTCTCTACATTTTTAATATTAAAAAGTGCTATTTTCACACACTAATCATATTATACAACATTTACCTGTGGATGTGATGATTTCCCAGGCTTCATCTCTGCCTGAAAGACAGTTCCATTTATGAATTTTGAGTAAAACTGCTTTTGAATTACACACATAACTACTGTTTGTCTTCAGTTACATGGGGGGTGGGGTGTGGGGGGGGTGGGGTGTGGGAATCACAAAGTGCTAACAGCCAATACTCCTAGAAGCTACATCTGCTTTACTGATGAAACCATACATATCACATTCACGCTCCTCCTGTCAAGCTCAGCTCTTGTCTGAAACATCTGATGAACTTGAAAAAAGCATCTTATAATGAAGTTCAAGAATCACATTAAAATGTCCTGGACTATACATAAAACACACTGTATAAAGCATACTTAGTTAATTGTAACAATGTTATGAGATATTTACATTTACACCTTAAAGCTAACTCTGAATGCATGAGCAGCCTTAAAGCCAGTGCCAAGAAGAGCACTCAGGTGTTTAATAGCTGCTTTCTCATTAAAGAGCTTTTAAAAAAAAAAAAAAAAAGTTAAACACTCACTGCAATCCTTCAGATTTCACAGTTTCAAACCAGAAACAAAATGAAGTATTTCTAAGAACAGTGAGAAATATCTGAAGATATTTGTTTCTTTTTATTGCACTTCCTTAACCTACACTCCACCTCCTCCAGACACAGACAAGATTTACACATGCTTTACATTTATTCATATTTATCCAGAACACTTCTGTAAGTAAAAATATTAAGTCCTGAACTGTCAAAAATTAGATTCAGAGGGGTGACTAATCTGGAAGAAAATCTCCAAGTTTAGTAAGGACAGGAAAAATACCCTTTCTTGGTACTAGAATCTTATTGACATTCTCATTAAAAAAAAAAAAAAAAAAAAAAAAAAAAAAAGGTTAAACCAGCAAAGTAGCTACTCCTGACCAAGGAAAGAACAGAGTAAGACCAACTGACTGTCAGACATTTAAAGAGCTCTGGCTTTTAAAATCAGTGAGCCATCTTCTAATTATTTCAAACAGCAAACTCTGCATCAGGTGGTATGCAATGATAACTGGAAGTGTTCTTCCTTTAACTCTTATTATACTTCTCCTAACTGACAAATCTTAACGAACCTTACAAGCACGTCTTGCATTACGATGGTGCTATGTGAAAAAAAAAAAAAAAAACAGAACCACCACCACTCAAGGCCTTAGTTTCCCAGTGAGCACGGGCTCCTAAAAGGTACTACTTTCCAAGCATGCTAAATGGTTTCTATTTTCACCTACAATAAACACCCTGCTCGGCCATTTCAACGGATTCACTCAGCACGTTAAGCGACACCGACGGTAAGGGGGTACCCCACCTCCAAGAAGCACCCCCACCTGCCAAAACCGCTCCCCGGGGCGGCGGGGACACGCGAAAAGCGAGAGCCAGACCTTGCCGCGAAGACGCACAAGCCCCCCCGGGGCTTCGCGGGAAGGCCCCTGGGGGAGCTCCGCAGGGGGCTGCCTTGGCAGCGCTTCCTCGGGCACAGGCGCCCCGCGGGCAGCACCCCGCCGCCCACCCCATCGCGGCCTGGGGGGGCCGGGCCCACACCCCACAGCCCCCAATCCCCCCCCACACCCCGCTGCGGGGCGGGCCCGAGGCGAGGCGAGACCCACCCGCCGCATCCTCCCGCGCGGCCGCCGCCGCCGGCGGTGCCCAGGGCCAGCGCAGACCCCGACGCGCAACTTCAACCACCGCTCCTTCCCAGCCAGGAAGTCGCTTCCGCTTCCGCTACCGGGTCACGGGCCAGCCCGCTCTCCGTTTCCTCCCCGCCGGGCTCCGCCGGCGCCTCGCCGGCCGCGACTGCGCAGGCGCAGCCACCGTCACGGCTACGGCCGGAACCACTGCTCCCGGGGGAGGGGCATGGGTCGTGGCGTCAGTGGGGCGTCCCGCCCTTTCCGGGGCGGAGGGCGGCCGGTGCGACCCCGGCTCCGCGGGTACCCCCGGCTCCGCGTAAGTCTCCTTTGGAGGCGGCCGCGCCTCCGCTTTCCCGTCCGTCCGTCCGTCCGTCCGTCCGTTCGATCCCCCTCCCCCCCATCTTCCCACTAGTCCGCTCCGGGCAGGGGCGTGACCATAGCAACACCGTAGCGGTGTGGAGCGGGAGGAGCGGCGGCCGCGCCCCGGCCCCTGCGCCCCTCCCTCCCCCGCTGAGGGCGGCACCGGCCGCCTTGGGCCCCGCTCTCTCCGCGGGTCCGGCGGGTCCCCGCGGCCGCAGCCGGGGCCGGGGGCGGGGGCGGGAGGGGCGGGCCGGGGGCGGGGGCGGGCCGTGCCCCGGCGGAAGGCTGTGTCCGAGCGGGGGGAGGTCCCGCCCGCGCAGCAGCGGCGGAGTTGGGAGGGGGGGGGGGCGCGGCGCGGTGCCTTCTCCCGCTTTCGAGTCTTCCCGTCCCGGCGATGCTTCGTGACGCAGCCTGGCTGCCGGGTTTCGCCCGTAACTGAGGGCAGCGCTGCCAGCCGGTGACATTTGAGTAAACCTAACAGTTAAATCCGAATTAGAAAAATGAGAAAACCACTAAATCCTGACGAGAGATTTTTTTTTTTTTTTTTTTGGAGACAGAATAACGTGCTGGCCTTTTCTTTCTCTACAACTATATACTTTTTCTGTTCTTAGTGAAAAACGGACTCTGATGGCTTCCACAGCTGCTTCCCAGCCTTCTCCTAAAAAAACAGTGGCCTCTCACGTGCCTTTTGCAGATCTGTGCTCTACTCTGGAGCGAATACAGACGTGTAAATCTCGTCCGGAGAAAACCAAGTATTTCAAGGGTTTTCTGGATTCCTGGAGGAAATTCCATGATGCTCTTCATCAAAAGGAGAAAGATGTCACGGATTCTTTTTACCCAGCTATGCGACTTATTCTTCCACAGCTGGAAAGAGAAAGGATGGCATATGGAATTAAAGAAACTATGCTTGCGAAGCTGTATATTGAACTGCTTAATTTACCAAAAGATGGAAAAGATGCCGCAAGGCTTTTAAATTACAGAACCCCTGCTGGCTCACGTGGAGATACTGGAGATTTTGCAATGATCGCATATTTTGTGTTAAAGCCCAGGAGCCCAAAACGAGGCAGACTGACAATAGAACAAGTCAATGAACACTTAGATGCGATAGCTAATAATAATGCTGCTAAAAACAAGGGTCTGTTAAAGAAAAGTCTTCTTCAGTTAATTACCCAGAGCACAGCACTGGAACAAAAATGGCTCATCCGGATGATTATAAAGGATCTCAAGCTTGGTGTTAGTCAACAGACTATATTTTCCATTTTTCATCCTGACGCTGTTGAATTACACAACGTCACAACTGATTTGGAAAAAGTTTGCAGACAACTGCATGATCCCTCTGTCTCACTTAGTGATGTTTCTATCACGTTGTTTTCTGCCTTTAAACCAATGCTTGCTGCTATTGCTGATGTCCAGCAAATTGAGAAGCAAATGAATAACCATATATTCTACATAGAAACTAAGCTGGATGGTGAACGTATGCAGATGCACAAAGATGGAGATGTGTATAAATATTTCTCCCGAAATGGGTTTGACTATACGCAGCAGTTTGGTGCTTCCCCACTTGATGGTTCGTTAACGCCATTTATTCATAATGTGTTTAAGAGCAATATACAAAATTGCATTCTTGATGGTGAAATGATGGCTTACAGTCCTGAGACACAAACCTTTATGCAAAAAGGAAACAGATTTGACATAAAAAGAATGGTGGAAGACTCTGATCTGCAGACTTGCTACTGTGTGTTCGATGTATTGATGGTTAACGATCAGAAGTTGGGGCATGAAGTACTAAGCAAAAGATACGAAATCTTAAGTAGCGTATTCACCCCGGTAACCGGCAGGATACATGTTGTACATAAAAAAAATGCCAGCACAAGAAAAGAAGTAATTGATGCTTTAAATGAGGCAATAGATAATAGAGAGGAGGGGATTATGGTGAAAGATCCCATGTCCACCTACAAGCCTGACAAACGTGGAGAAGGCTGGTTAAAAATCAAGCCCGAATACGTCAATGGGCTGATGGATGAACTAGACCTTTTAATTGTTGGTGGTTACTGGGGGAAGGGCTCCCGTGGTGGAATGATGTCTCATTTTCTGTGTGCTATTGCAGAGACGCCCCCTCCAAATGAAAAACCTACCGTTTTCCACTCTGTCTGTCGCGTTGGCTCTGGATATACTATGAAGGAATTGTATGATCTGGGTTTGAAACTGGCTAAACACTGGAAGCCCTACCGTAGGAAGGACCCTCCATGTAACATTTTGTGTGGAACTGAAAAACCTGAAATGTACATTGAACCTTGCAACTCTGTCATAGTTCAGATCAAGGCAGCCGAGATTGTTAACAGTGATATGTACAAAACTGACTGTACTTTGAGATTCCCTCGAATTGAGAAGATAAGAGAGGACAAAGAATGGTATGAGTGCATGACTTCAGACATGTTAGAAGATCTCAGAAGCAAAGCAGAAGGGAAGCTGGCATCCAAGCACCTTCATATAGAGGAATATGATGAGCCACAAGAAAAAAAAAGGAAAACTGTATCAAAGGTGAAGAAGATAATTGGAATAGCTGAGCAATTTAAAGCTCCTGATCTTTCTAGTGTAAACAAAGTTTCAAATGTATTTGAAGATGTTGAGTTTTGTGTTATGACAGGAATGGGAAAATACTCAAAGTCTGAACTGGAAAGCAGAATAGCTGAATGGGGTGGCAGTGTGGTGCAGAACCCGGGGCCGGAGACTTACTGTGTCATTGTAGGAGCTGAGAATGTCAGAGTAAAAAACATCATTGCTTCCAACAAGTACGATGTGGTGAGGGCAGAGTGGCTCCTTCAGTGTTTTCAAACGAAAATGCTGGTGCCTTGGCAGCCAGCCTTTATGATTCACATGTCTCCTGACACAAAAGAACATTTTGCTCGTGAGTATGATTGTTATGGAGACAGCTACACAGCGGACGTAGATGTTGCACAACTCAAGGATGTGTTCTCAAGAATGAAAGACAATAACATGATGCCCTTGGACACGATTGCAGAGTTAGAGGAACGTTATTCATGGAACAGCTGTCAGCTCAGTATATTCAGAGGAAACACTATTTATGTGGACTGTTATGCTGTTGTTAATGAGCCCAGAACCAAAATCCATGGAACAACACTATCAATTAGAGCGTTGGAGCTCCGTTTTTATGGTGCAAAAGTAGTCTCTCACCTTGAAGAGGGTGTCTCCCATGTTGTTATAGGAGAAGATCGTTCTCGGGTGAAAGAGATGAAAGCAGTCAGGAGAACATTTGGGAAAAAATTTAAAATTGTATCTGAGTTGTGGGTAACACAGTCAGTGGAGGAAGGAGTCCCAAAGAATGAAAATCAGTACTTAATTTAAAGTAGTTTTTAAGCTTGGAGCAAAAGCATTCTTGTTGGACTTGGATATTGCGAGGTTGCCTTAAACTTTTTGTGTGTTTTCATGTCTGTTTAAATCTAGCTCTGTCTAAAGAATTACACTGTGTCGTTGAAATCAGAGGAAGGCTTTTAATTATACTGTTGTGGAAGCAAGAGAATGCTAAGCTGTGTTGGAGGAGAAAAAAACCCACCACACAATAAATAATGTAAGCCTTTTACTTCACAAACAGGTCTCAGGAGAGATCTAATATTTTACCTAAGAGAATTCCTAGCTATTCATAGTGCTTGCCTTCATTGTTCAAAATGGAGACAATAATTTACTATTTTATGGAGATTCTGCTATTTAACATAATGTTTATTTATAAGTTTGCAATCACATCCATGTATTTGTGGAATAGTTTTTTGTATATTCCATATGCTAGAGAATTCATTAATTTATAAACCTTGTCTGTATGGTTTTAATTTTTCTACATTGGTTTTAGAAATGAGCCCCCCAAGCATTAGTAGCACTTTGGTTTTAGGATATTGTATTGATCCCATGTTTCTTTGTGTAAATAAACATTGTAAAATAGAACCTAAACTTCTGATTGAGGTGCTAATGAATTAATAATATATATGTAAAATACAAATCAATTAATTAAAAACTGTAATGGTCTCCTGTTCTCATTACAGTTAAAACATGAAGTACAACAGGGCTTTTACACGTATCTATCAGTTTATCTTTCAAAAAATGTTTCATAAGCTATTTCAGTAATGTAGGATTAATTGCCAAATATCTAATTAAATGTTTGGGGTTTTTATTAATTACTAAATACAAACTATTTTTAAAGTCTGCCTGATATTTTTTTTTTTTTTTTTTTACTGAGAGAACTCTTAAAAAGCACAAAACTTGGTCCTGTTATGTCAATACTGGTATCAAACAGAACTGTTGTTGAGCTGATCACACAGAACCAGTTGTTTTTGGCTGACTTGTTTCTTCAGTGCTTTTTGTGGTTGTGTTCATATAAAAAATTGCTGTAAAAAGTATTGGGAAATGTTATATGAAAGGCTAATTGGAAGGAAGTTTATTCTTATCTCTTAGAGTTAAGTGTAAACATTAGGAGCACCCTTATTACTTGAAATATACTAAATATGTAAAATGTAATAACCACTTTTCTTAAGCCACTTTATAAATTGCTAAAAAGCAGAATATTTTTTGTATACAAACCCCAGTATGTACTGAAAGACAGTGCATTATTTTTCGTCTAATAATTTGAGTAGAAAATTGGTATATGTGAAATATAATACTTCAGTTTTAACTCATTTAGCTTCTGTGTAATGTCATATATTCT